GTTACGCGGCCCCGCGCCGGGCGGCCGCTGTTGTAAACAAACCAGCATGTGCCACATGAGTCCGCATAAATCCCAAAGCTAAAAAGGGAAATACTTGATAAGAACCAGGAACTCAAGGACAAATGGACTGTAACATTTGGCTCTCATTGAGTCAATGAGGAAGGACTGCTTCATGTTTGCTTTGTAATGAGAATATGTTGAAGAACAAAAAGAGTCATGTGGAAAATCGGCTGCTGACCCCAGTTTGGAGAGAAACAGTGTGATCGCAGTTATTCTGGAGGATTCATCTCCAAACGTCTACGCCTGAATTTTGTTGCAACACGAGGAACAAAAAAGTGCAAAACACCGTTCGGGACATTCAGCTCCAGCAAACTCCAGCCTGTGACGACGTGTGACGTGATCGATATGAACAGAAAGTGCTGTAATGCAGGTATGAGAACTCTGAGCCAAAAACGGATGTATTTACTGTATTTCTACAATTGCATGAACGCAACAAAAGGAAAGTTAAACTTAAAGCATATATGGTATAGCAGAGTAGTCACATGGTGCGTCACTCTCTTGCACTACAGTGAAAATGTATATATATATAATAATCATGAATGCATATTATGTATTTGTAGCCTATACTTACTCATTTTGATAGTAGGGTAATACAGCTTACAGCCTGTGTTGCTTTCATATAAACCTTAAAAAAGGCAGTAAAGTTTATGCGGCTCCAGACAGATTTGTTTTTTTTATTTTTGCTCAAATATGGCTCTTTGAACTTTTTGAGTTGCCGACCCCTGGTCTAGAGTAGGGTTTAATATTTTTCCCGAAAATGAGACGTATTAAATCCCGGGAAAAGACGACGCCTTTCCCGGGAAATCCCGGGAAATAGCTGTTGTTTGTAGTTGTTGTTTTTAGCCCAAGTAATGTATGATATCACTCAAATATATAATCCAACAAAAGCTGCCGTCTCCACTAGTGTTGTGCTAAAGTAGCCATAGCGTTTTCAGACGTTTTGTTGATGGGCTTTCTTCAGGAATTTCACTAATATGAGATTCTAAATGTCTGCGCAATCCACTTGTCGACCAGTGACGTGCGGTGTGGTTTGGAGGCACTTCAGCCCAATCAGATGAACATATATCATATAAATCAACAGAACCTACAGAGCGGCTTATTCACAATTAGTTTGGCCACAGCAGAATGTTTTCCATGGCCCGCATTGTTTGCTCAAACAAAACGCAAACGTTCGTAAAAGGCACATTTCCAATTGTGTTATGGGTCTTACCTTAGTTATTAATGAACAGCACAGACCACTTCGGTTCAGACCAGTTTCATGTTTAAGTCCAGATAATAGTTTGAGCGCAGATATGTAATCCCCCATTTGGAAATAAGCCCAAAGAGTTTTAAAGCGTAAAACAAAACGGGTGCCACCTCCATAAACTCCTGTGTTTTCGCTGCAGCCGGCTCTCGGGCGCATCCAATTTCTAATATCAACCTTCTTACCCTTCTCCTCTCTTCCTTATCATTCCTATCGTCATTGGAAGCAGAACATTACCCTAAATGCATTTTATATGATCTTAAAATGTGTTATATGTATGATAGCCAAAGCTGTTGCTGCCCTTAGCAGATAGAAAAAAAGAAAGGAGCTTTCTGATAGAATTGGACGTAGCCAAATTCTGGGCTCACATGTGCCCCGTACCCTGAGGCTGGCCTCATTACAAGTCGTGGTTTAGCGCGATTAAGACCCATATTTGTTGTCAAAAACACAATTTATGAGCCATCCTCTCAGCTGTAGACATGTTGATTGTAAATGAAATATGTTTGAACTTTGAACAACAATAAACGTGCTCTATAATAGGAGCGCACTGGATTTTTTTTTTAACTTTCATTTCCCGTTTCCCGTCATAACATTTCCCGGGAATCGGGAAATAGTTTTGATCAGATTTCCCGGGAATCCCGTGTCCCGGGATTAAACCCTAGTCTAGAGTCACACGCACTCTCACCCACACACGCACACACATATACACGTACGTACAACAATATTCTCTTTGCTTTTTTCTTTCTCTTCCTTGTTGGTGTCTGTTAGTAGAGTTGTTGGATTTTCATTAAAGTGAATTAGAATATATTAAAAGTTTAGACATATTTGGGTTAACCTACGTGTGTGATGGGATGTGATGGACGCATCAGCAGCATTCTCCCATCCCCCAGCCATTAAACACAGGAAGTTAAATTAAGAAGAGCGCAGAAAACATCTGTTTTGAGTAGCCTCAGGCTTACTTTGAGAGGGGCTATTTGTTTGTTCTGAACATAGAAGGTATTGTCTTCACCTAAGGATGGTGGGACATATTGTTGCATGTGTTTCAAATTATCAGGGTATAAGAACAGAATTCTTGGTCCATTTCTTGGTCACTCTGCTGCTTTCCATCCAGCAGAGACCCAGACTAGACTGTAGTCTGTAAAACTTGTCTGTTTGTGCTGATGTCCAGATAACCTGTAGTTTTGAACCAGCGGCTGACAACATGTATTAAAGAGATTATGTTGTTGAAATGTGACTAGTTTATTCACATATTTTGGTCCTTCTTGCGCCGGATGCCAACATGCTTTTCTGCGGAGCTGAGGATGCCTCAAACATGGAGTTGGAGCAACGGTGAGACCTTCTTCATTCAGAACTGCTTTGAGGACTCCATCTTTGAGGCATGGCCAGTCTCCGGATTGAAGTTGACGGCAGAACTAGAGTTTCTGGACATCCACATGGACAAGGTAAAACTAATTTTTTCTAAAAAAAAAGAAACTAAATTTAAATCGTCTTTGAAGGCAGGAAATCCAATTTATCTCCTCAAAAAGCATTGGGGCAGTGAGATATCACGCACTTCTAAGAAAGTGGAGAATTTAAAAGGGTGAAAGTCCCCGTTGGTTGGTTCATCGGTACCAACAAAGCGACAGAATAGATGAAACTTCTATCCACTGGGTGAATAAACATCCTCAGAGAAGAGAAAACAAATTCAGCACTATGGACGCATACGTGTAGTTGGAAAACCAGATCTGGCCATTTGAGGGAAAATGGAACATTTTGAGAGTGGTGATTTATTCTTCAGCCGATTAGTGACTTTTTGGTAGAACTTTGTGGTAGCCTGCATAATAAGACAACAATTTTTCTAAATAATAATTTTAATTGGAAATTGAAATTTGGATATAAAGGCCTAAAGTGTGAGTGTGTGTGTGCGTGCACGTTTGAGGTGCATCCTTTGTGTCCCCTTCTGCCTTTTCCCCTCTTCCCCCCCTCCCCCTCCTCCCTTGCTCCCAATTCTGTCCCTCCCGTCTGCTCAACTCTAGTTGGGTGGAGTAGTAAGTTTGTTATAGTTTAACTACTTTTGTTAATGCTAGCTACATTAACAAAAATAATTTAAAAGGGGTGGAACCAGTGATAAACATTTTACTGGTGAAAACATTTGGTAATGAGATTAGAGAATCATAGATAGATTTGAATTGACTTGAGCTGTGAAATTTTTGTGATTGGACAATTTTAAAGTTACAACATTTGGTACGAGCTCAAAAGGATTAGGCTGAAACTGAATTAGATTGATGATAGATAAGACTCAAAGTTAGCCTAGCTTTTTGATTTTTGTTTGCTTATGATCACAAAAGCTGGTATTTTGTGCACACAAGTAGACTTTTATGTTTATTTTTGGGTTTGATTTGGAGTTTTTGTTTGTTTTGTGAGTAACTGTCTTTATGTGTAAGATTTAACAGACTAACATTTCCTCTTATGTGAGTAGTATTTGTTTGTTACTGCAGGTTTTGCATGTAAGTGTTTGTCTTCTATGTTTGGGACTTAACTGACTGAACTAACGGACTATAAAATAGGAATAAACATCAGGACTAAAATATTATTTCACAAATAATATGAAACAATATTAGGGTAAAATCAACAGAATTGTCAACTCATATTTTGTTCTGTCTCTGAGTTTGTTTCTGTCTCAGCTGAGAGAGGGACGTCTGGGGACAGTGTTTGGTTGTTCCCGGCACAGCATCGGTCACATGCTTCACCTCACTCCAACCAGAGAGACAGGTTGTGAAGGTTCGTTTAAAACAGAACACATGGCTGGGTCGGAAAGGGCGTTTTCAGAAGTTTTTAATTAAAAACTCTCAGTAGAAAAACAGTGGGAAATTACAAAAACCATATTTACAGAGCACAGTGAAAAGACTATCGGCAAAAAGGATATTTACAATAAATATGCACGACTTCAACACTAAGTCTCTTTTTCCTTAGCTTTACACTCAAGCTCCTGCCGTCCACATTACCTTCTCTGTAATGAGTCACGACTCCCATGGGGCAGACAAGCACACCTTTTGTACCCTGCTGGCCCCTCCCACATTACAAATCAATCATCGAATAAAACATCATATCTACACTACATGAGTATTTCCTTATGTTCATGATTTCATAATACAGTTCCACATTGACACATTTACCATAAAATACATTATGAGCTACACACTGCAAAGAGTCCAAATGTCCATGCAAATGAGCTGTGGTCACATGACCCACAGACAGGTGCATTTAATCCACGGGCTCCTTATGTCCGGGTTTGCCAAACCGCACCATGGAGACGCCACGACCACGCCAGCACAGGCGAGTGAATGACACATGTAACTAGATTTAACACACCATGCAACGCTTCCAAGTGTGCACCCTGAAGACGCGTTCACGCACGCTACATGTGACAAACACAGTCCCTAGCAGTAGTCAATGAATGGGCTTGGCCGTTGCGCGCAGCCACCATGGCACCGGGCGTGCGCATCTTCACATGCGCTCCGTGGGACAGCGTGCTCAGGGACGGGCTCACCCCGTTACATTATCCCTCCCCTCTGGAAGGTTGACACTGAGGGGGAAACCGTATAGTCCGCACCACCACGGACCAAACCCGCAGCTTGAGTACGCTGGCCCCTGGCGCGCTCCTCACTCTCCGGGAGCGATCCGGTGAATATAGCGACCGTGAGTCTCTGCTTGATTCTCACCCGGGTCGCTCCACCTCCTTCACCTGCTCCTCCAGCTGAACCTGCAGCTGCCTCCGAGCCTCCTCAGACTTCTGCGCTGCACTCAGGGCCCTCTCCAGCTCCTCAAACGCTGACTTCTCTACCCTCTCTTTTTGCTCCTGCACCTCTTCTTTTTGAGTGGTGGTCTGTTGAAGCCGCGACCGAAGCTGTGCAATCTCTTCCTCCTTCATTTCAAGCGTCTCGTGCATCTGTCGTTTTGTTTCGGCTATAACCATTCCCTTGTCTTGTTCCAGCTGTTTGATGTGGTTCTTAGCGTCGCGCAGCTGGTTTATGAGCTTGGTTTTTTCTGTTGTGTGCAACTCCTTCATCTTCTCCAGCTCCTGCAGCCTCTCCTGCAGCTGTTCTTGGAGAGTTTCATTCTCACTGCCGAGTTGTGCGCTGCGCTCTTTGTGAGTCCTCAGCACTTCTTTACACTTCTGCAGGAGGTTTTCCTGCCGCTTCACTCTCTTCTGCAAAGCCTCCATCAGTTTGGACGGATCACTGTTGCCCCCTTCCTCTGTCACTTCTGTCTCTGCTTCCTGCTCATTAGGTGGACTCTTTGGGGCAGAGTTTGAATCTTCCGATAGTGAGACTTCACCCTCGGGCAGCGCAGTACCGTCTGAAACACCTTTGACGCGCTTCTTCAATAATGAGACCTGTGTTTGGAGAACCGTGATCATTTGGTCTTTCTCCTCCAGTGCAGCATCAAACTCGTCTTGTAAGTGCTTCTTTGCTTGTTGGTCCATCTGTAGCTCCTCCCGCAGCTCCCCAATTCTGCACAGTGCCTTATCTTGACTCTGACTTAGGATGGCCTGTGTTTTTTCTTTGTCTCGCTGAACCGTTCTGTATGCAGTCACAAGCTCTGAGTACTTGCCCCTGTACTTCCCCAGGCTGCTCTCCACCTGCAGAAGTCTGTGCAGCAGCTGGTCTTTGGACAAGGACTCTGCACTTCCCGGCGGCTCCTCTGCCTCACTCTCAATGTCGGACGGAGGGTCGTAAGAGGGGGCACCCAGCGGCTCGCTTTCCCCCAAAGGTGTCAGCGATTCCCGGGAGGATGTCCGCACCAGGTTGTCTTTAAATTCTCCTCATTGGTTTTCATAATTTCACTTTTAACCCTGTCGAATTCTTCCTTTTGATTCTGCATCTCGAGTCGACACTTTTCATTGTCCTCTTTGAGTGAATGCAATTTCTCCATCATTTCCTGCTCCACATTTCCATTTTTCGTGCACTGCATTTGCGTCTGCTGTAACTGTTCCACCAACACTTTCTTTTCATTCTCTGCGATGCTCTGTTGCTGCTTTAGCTCTATGGTTAGCTGCTCGCACTCTTGTATCTTTAAGGCAAGTTGCTCCTGTATCTCCCCAAGTCGTTTGTTGCAACTTTCGAGCTCCGAGGTAAGCCCGCTCACCTTCTGCTCCTTCTCGCTCAAGATCTGGTCCATTTCAGACTTGCTGATGGACTGATTGTCGATACTCGCGGTCAGTCTTTGCAAGGCATCGTTTTTTTCACTGATTTCACGCTCCAGCTCTTCAAGTACAGTTTGTAATGCTGTGATAGTGTTATTACTTTGGGTACACCTGGATGCTGTGTTGTTTTCTAGTTCGGAGAGACTTTTCCTGAGTGTAGCGGCCTCATCCAGAGCAGATGTCTTCTCTTGCTCGAGTCTCTTCATAACTTCCTCCATTTGCGCTGCAGCCTGTAGCCTCTCCTCTTTATACTGCTGGTTTATTTGATTAATGGCTTCCTCTTTATCTTGTATGCTACTCGCCAGCTGATTTTTCAAGTCACTGATGATGCCTTCCAAGTTACTGATATGAGATTCATTGGCTTTGATGCTTTCTGATATCACTCTGTTCTCTTCACTGAGCGTCTGCACTCTCTGGAGATTTTCCTTATTGAAAGTTTCGGAATCATTAGTTAAGGCTAATATTTGGTCAGCTTGCGCTTTTACCTGAGCGTTCAACTGGTCTAAAGTAATGCATAGATTTCTGTTCTCCTCCGTCTTCTGTCGCAAACTCTCCTTGATCAATCAACAGACATTTCCACACTTCGTTCCGAGCCCTTCGTGTTTCCCGACCGCCATCCCACTTCTGACACCATATGTGAAGGTTCGTTTAAAACAGAACACATGGCTGGGTCGGAAAGGGCGTTTTCAGAAGTTTTTAATTAAAAACTCTCAGTAGAAAAACAGTGGGAAATTACAAAAACCATATTTACAGAGCACAGTGAAAAGACTATCGGCAAAAAGGATATTTACAATAAATATGCACGACTTCAACACTAAGTCTCTTTCTCCTTAGCTTTACACTCAAGCTCCTGCCGTCCACATTACCTTCTCTGTAATGAGTCACGACTCCCATGGGGCAGACAAGCACACCTTTTGTACCCTGCTGGCCCCTCCCACATTACAAATCAATCATCGAATAAAACATCATATCTACACTACATGAGTATTTCCTTATGTTCATGATTTCATAATACAGTTCCACATTGACACATTTACCATAAAATACATTATGAGCTACACACTGCAAAGAGTCCAAATGTCCATGCAAATGAGCTGTGGTCACATGACCCACAGACAGGTGCATTTAATCCACGGGCTCCTTATGTCCGGGTTTGCCAAACCGCACCATGGAGACGCCACGACCACGCCAGCACAGGCGAGTGAATGACACATGTAACTAGATTTAACACACCATGCAACGCTTCCAAGTGTGCACCCTGAAGACGCGTTCACGCACGCTACATGTGACAAACACAGTCCCTAGCAGTAGTCAATGAATGGGCTTGGCCGTTGCGCGCAGCCACCATGGCACCGGGCGTGCGCATCTTCACATGCGCTCCGTGGGACAGCGTGCTCAGGGACGGGCTCACCCCGTTACACAGGTCTAAGAGCAGGAGGAGGGGGAGAAGCATCGGCAGAGGTGCTGTGGTTGGGAACGACGAATCAGACGCCTAAGAAGTCCTCTCTGACTGATGCTGACTCAGAACAATCAGATAAGTGGAAAACACTCTGAAAATAAGCAGTTTAATTTTTCAGATTTGAATAATAATCATGTTTAGGTTCATTTGAAGGGTTTAAATTCAACAGTAAGGGAAGTTACTGTAGCATGTTTAATGTTTACATCAAAGAAATGCAAATCTGTTTGATTCTGAATATAACTAGTTATACATTATTTCAATAGTTAATTGTCATGTTTTCATTTCTGACACAAGAAAATATACAGTAATAGGACTGTCTTCAGCAACAGTTTTCATTAACTGCTAAGGTTTTCTTTTGGGTTTACTGAACTAAGTTTGAAATGTATTAACAAATGTGTACTTTGTGTGTTTTGTTTGAGGGAAACACCTAAAACACCACTTTTGATGCTCAAAAAGCTCAGAGTTCATTCCTGTGAAGGAGACGCCCACTCCCACCCCCACCAATCATCAATCAGCAGGTCAAACCATGCCAAACCAAGCCAAACCAAGCCAAACCAGCAGGCCAAACCAACGGCTAAATGCTGCAACTACAGAAGCAATGATGCAAAGGGTCATCCAGAGGTCAGACTCAAATCAACCACTTGACTCTGTGTGTTTGGGACATTTTGCAGATTTCCAAAACATCTGAAAGACTGGGTTAACCGAAGACATCACCTTTGTGCAAAGATCTGAGGACTGGAGGTTTCCAGTTTTTGCTGTCGGTTCTAAAGTGTGTGAACAGGACAGAGGCTTCTGGACATGATGGGGCTGTGCTGGATGGGGCTGGACGTTGCTGGCTGCAGAAGACATTGGGGTGTGGAGGCGTGTCTACAACAGGCGTTACTGGACAATAGGCTTTTTGGTGTGGGGTGTAATTTGCTAACCAGTTGACACATTTCAAGTTAATACATTTCAGGTTAAAACATTCCAGTTCACCTTGGAGAGACCCATGAGGAAAATGCTGTTAGACTTATTAGATTTAAGCATGTTTATTGATTGAGCATGTTTGGCGCCCTAGGCCCGGGAGGGATGCTGTTGAGCGTGGCGCTTGCTCGCGTGCATAATCCCCCCCGGGGCCTAGGTACTGGTGACGGCAGAGGCAGTAGGCAAGCACGCTTCGATGAGAGAAGGAGGAGGTGGGGCGGCGGAGGCTTGCAGACTTCAGAAGGCCGGGAAGTGGGAGTCTCCGGCTTTTAACTTGCTGTCCTGGTGGTTATTGGTTGACTGGATGTGGGCGTTGCTGGTATTGATGAGTCGAGGAAGAGCAGCCTGTGGCCTGGGCAGCAGCAGCCGGGTCTACCACAGTGAACTTTCGCGAAAGCTCCATTTCACCTTGGAGAGACCCATGAGGAAAATGCCGTTAGACTTATTAGATTTAAGCATGTTTATTGATTGAGCATGTTTGGCGCCCTAGGCCCGGGAGGGATGCTGTTGAGCACGGCGCTTGCTCGCGTGCATAATCCCCAAAAAGCGGGCCTGCGATTGGGATAGCAGGACGTACTGCGCGGGCCTGAGAGCATGAGTGAGAGGCTTCTCGCACAGTCGCTCAGCCGGCTGCGTCCGCTGGGGCCCGTGTTTGTTTAGGCAGAGTGAGCTGAGAATATGAGCGTGCTCATATTCGCCAGACGCTGAAGCAGAGGAATCTTTGAGCGAGCTGAGAACATGCGCGCACGCGCATGTTCAGCCAGACGCTGCAGCAGAGGAATTTTTGAGCGAGCTGAGAATATGAGATGCACGCTCATATTCGCCAGACGCTGAAGCAGAGGAATCTTTAAGCGAGCTGAGAACATGCGCGCACGCGCATGTTCAGCCAGACGCTGCAGCAGAGGAATCTTTGAGCGAGCTGTGAATATGAGATGCACGCTCATATTCGCCAGACGCTGAAGCAGAGGAATCTTTAAGCGAGCTGAGAACATGCGCGCACGCGCATGTTCAGCCAGACGCTGAAGCAGAGGAATCTTTGAGCGTTTGAGGAAAGTGCGTGCCGCCACCAGAATCTTATTGCTTACTTGCTTTGCTGGGAGCTTACGAGGAAGCCGGTAGACGTTGTGCTGCCATGATAGCGGTCGCATCTGGCCTGATGTAGGTGGAGAAAGCCGAAGAGGACCAGCGCCCCAGCTGTTGCAGAGAAGAGTGGGGGAGCCCCAGCGAGGTCGCGCGCGTGGCAGCGCCTATCCTGAAGGAGTGGGCTGTATAGAGCTGGGGAGACAAATTGCAGAGGAGCAGTAGGGATCTTAGCTGAGCTCTGAACCAGGTTGCTGTTATGGGAAGGTTGACTGGAGTGAGACTTAGAGGTCCGTTAAAATCTCCTTTTTGCCGCGGAGGCGAGTGTAACGCATCATGGACCTGTAGGGGCAGAGAGATGTGTCGAAGCGAGCTATTATTGTGTTGCAGGCGCCTCTGATCTTTGAATGTTTGAGATGAAGGTTGAAATGGTCAGGGGACATTATGTTGGGTGAGAAGAGCGACCTTTGTTTAATGCTTCCACTACGTCGAGATGATCACGCATGACAGAGATCCTCTTTCTCTGCCACGTGTGATTCCGCAGCGCGCAGGCCACGACCACTGGGAATGTCTCGTGTAGGGCAGAGGAAATGCTCCGGGGAAAATTAGCGGGCCACGGCCCGGCGAACCACTGGTCCTGGAAGAACCCAAAACCCACGGAAGGGGCCGCGTCCGTGTAGAAGCGGAGACCTGTAGGGGCAGAGAGACACACCGGAGAGGGCCATTGATGTTGCAGGCGCCCTTACGCTTAGAATCTTGGGTTGGAGAGTAGATAATCAGGACAGTAGGATAGGTTGGGAAAAGCCGTGTCTCGGACCGCATGAAGGTTGAGTGAGCAGTAGTGAAACGCTTATGCAGAGAAGCCATAGAAGGCGAGCAGGAAGATGCTGCGAGGAGGGCAGACATGTACTTGGAAGATGAGCCGGAGTTCAGCGCCGCTGCAGGATGGGCAGCATGATGGGGAGCCTGCGATCAGAAGAGTGAAGAATACAGGTATGGATGCCTTTGATTAGGAGTTTGATTGACAGCTCAGTGCAGCTACTCGGCCAGCTGCATCTGATAGAATCAGAAGATTAAGTAGATTAAGTAGAGAGATGAAGCATGACCGCCGAAGTGACCCTGAGAGCATAGGTGCGAGTCCAGCGCAGCGCGGCATACTCACCCGGGCTGCATCCATTAGAGCAGGATAAGCTTCTGAGAGAGTGGGTTGCAGTTTTTTTTGTTTTTTTTTTTTTTTTTTTTTTTTTTTTTCGGCAGCAGCAGTAACCTCAGATAATAACAGCAATAGTCCTGTATCAAGCCGCGGCAGCAGCAGTAGCAGCAGCAGCAGCATCCTTAGAAAATAACAGTAATAATCCTGTATCAAGCCACAGCAGTAGAATATTGTTGTAGCTGTTCAGTGTTTCAGTAAAAGAGATTTAAGTGAAGAGAGATGTCAAAGTAATGAAGCAGCAGCAGCAGTAGCAGTATGAAGCAGCAGCAGCAGTAGCAGCATCTGTAGATAATAACAGCAATAATCCTGTATCAAAGCCGCAGCAGTAGAAATTGTCGTAGCTGTTTAGTGTTTCAGTAAAAGAGATGCGAAGTGAAGAGAGACGTCAAAGTACATGAAGCAGCAGCAGTACGGCAGCAGTAGCAGTATGAAGCAGCAGAAGCAGCATTAGCAGGAGCAGCAGCACCACAATGCGATTCATGCGTGCCCCGCTTGTCTCCGTG